ATGTTTCCTGCACAGGTCTGAGCACCAAAGACCAAGTAATTGTATCAATAAATTTCTTCTAATTGTCTTTTCTCTTCGTGAGTTTTTTAGTTGAAATATATTTAGGCTCCTGGATTCAATCTCACGATTTCTTTAAGGGGGCACCAAAAATTCAGCTCATTCTTCAGATCCTGAAACAATTTCCCTCAAAGAATCAGAAGCAGGTTAGATTGTTCAAACACCTGAAGCGTCTCTTTATTTGGAGGAGTTGAATACAACAGAAACACCCTTTTCAGACGCATACAGAGAGAGTCTGAGCTTTCTGTCCTCTCATTAATGAATTCAAGCTGCTTTTGAAAATGCAGAGCAGGTGGTGGGATGAAAAGCTCGGGGACAAGCGGTCTCCGCGTTTCATCTGGTGTTTTAGGGCAGGAAGGTTCCAGAAGGGTCTTCTCGATGGATAAAGGAAAAGCCCTTCATCTACTTTTTCTCACGTCTCGGGCCTCCAGCAGCTTCTGAAACCTTTAGACTCTGTGATTATCTCCACTTTCCTGTCAGATGGGGGCTTTGAAGGATAAAGTGTTATCACCTCTCCTGGAGATCCGTCTCTTTAAGAAGGTTAAATACTTCTTCAACACACTGAATAATTTCCTTTTTTTTTGGTTTATGTCAAGTAGGCATCAGTTCGGCTCACAGTGAATTGTGATGTTAATAATTTAGAGTCAGTGTTTGGCTGTTAACAGCCTGTTTCTAATTCCCCTCATTGATCTCACACCCACCCTGATTAGGAGAGGAATCGATGCCAATGGAGGACAATCAGCCATGACTCAGGTTGTTGTTCAGAGACTTTATATCCGTCGTCCTCTTGCTTACGCTGCTGTTTCCTAAACGATGAACAAATGTTTGCGCTTATTCTGCATAATTAGACCATTTGTTTCAGTCCTTTTATCCGATAATTAAATAAACAGCAGGCCCTGATAAAACGGGAACTGCAGGAAAATTAAAAAGATGTGATCTACTTTCTGTTTTAGCAGCAGCAGCAGCATTCCACATTTTACAAATGTATAGAAATCCAGCCTTTATAGGGCAAGTTAACATTTCTGATCACTATTTTACCCCTTACAAAAGGAGTCCCCTCCCTCCCTCAGTGAAGTCTAGAAGCACAAGATCTATATCCAGCCATTCAGCACAGATCGTGCTACATGGCTGTGATTCTTATTTTGGCGTTTGACCAATTAGATGAGCCCTTGAATGATATATTACCTACTGGAAATTAAGTTGAAAAAAGTAAACAAGACAAGAAAAATGTAAAAAGCTAATTAGAAAGTAAAGTTAAAAAGTTAATAAGTCTAGTTAACAATTATATTTTGGTTTATAAACAAAAAAAATGAAAGTGCCAGTATCAGCATTAATGCCTCTAAGGTTATATTGTATCAAAAAAAATGTGTTTCTTTCACACTTTTTCATGAATTTCTTATAGAAGCACTTATTTGTGTTATTTTTCTTAATATATTCGGGCGAGTTGGCGTTTCTTGTTATTACATTAACATTTATTTTTGCCATCAAAACGTTACAAAAGTAAAAAGGTCATGTCCTTGATTCCGATAACACTATTGGCATGGATTTTCTAAGGATTTCACTGATTGTCCTATAAAGGGTTAATGTGAAGCCAGCATTTCCGCATATATAGACACATATGAGTTCAGTTTTTAAATCATTCTGGCCTAAACATGTATATAAATGTACTTTTTTTATTATTATTTTTTTAATCCTGTCTTAAAATCTGTGTTTGTTTTTTTTCCGTTATCTTCTGCAGGCCAGTTAGTTATACGTCAGCTTGAACACCTAAATTCGGCCAATCATATATCAACGGTCATCTGTCAATCAAATATTTTCGGTCATAGCATCTTGATGTCGCAGCTAATATACGCAACGGTTGAAATCAGAATCCTTTCCTTTCCCATTGAGTTGCGTCCCAGTGTTCACGGGGATGGACGTCTGTGTCTTCAGCAGGCGTAGAGCTAACAGAACTGGCAGCGTTGCGAGGCAAGGGCTCAAACATGTACGGCTGGAAGCCTTCTACACCAAACCAAGCTTCTGCCGCCCTGGCGTCCTCTTCCACAACATCTTCGTCCATGACCTCCAACACTAAACTCTCCTCCTCTTGCATGTTTCCGCTGTCCATAGCGTTCCCTGACAGTGTCTTTGCTAAGTCACCAATTTAGTGCTACTTGGTCCCAATGGAATTTACTATTTGGAACCTACTAGCACTAAGTTGCTAACTGGTTAGCAAGATGCTTCCAACAAACTGGCCACAACCAAACTTGCTTGCGAACCTTCCGCCACAACAATCCCGTCCCCTTGATAATCGACCAATCACATTCACTTTATTCACTCGTGTAAAGTCGGGCACCACTCAGGAGAATTCGGAACTGCAACGTTTGGAACAGTTACTTCCCTACAACTTTAAATCAGAGTATTTATGGACTTTAGCAGCACCTTCTACTTGGTAAAACTCCCACAAACTAGTTCAGAGACTCACAAACCATGCCATCTCCACCCCTCTGTGGAATTCCTAACCAGCAAACCTCCAGCCTGATTACTGACACCATTAGCATGAACACCGGCACACCGCAGGGCTGTGTTCTCAGCCCCTCCCTCTTCACCCAAGACCGTCATCTTATCTTTCAAACTACAGCAGAAAAAACAATATTGCTAAATAATCTGACTGCCCACTGAGTCTTGTATACAAGCATATTGAACCGAAGTAAAAGAAAGGTACAACCTTGATAGTTTCCATATTTTGGGGAGTATTTAGTGTCATTTTTAAGGTTTGGTTATGACCCAAAATGCCAGAACACACGAAGGAGTCTGGATGTCGTAGGTTTATTTACAAAGCCTGAAATAATGAGCATTTGCATCACCAGGCAGTATTTAAATAATGTTTTGATGAAGAGAAGGGGGAGCTTATTCCAGCTGTGCAGCATAGACTAATATGGTTTCCGGGTCGGTTTCCTCCAAGGTTTTCTGCTCCAAGGAAGGACTCCCAGCCAGACAATGAGGAAAATGGACAGGACAAAGAGCAGCGGGGTAGGAGACTAGAAAATACAATGAGCCTTTGACTCAAACTAACCATGCAAAGGAGCTTAAGCGTCACTATTTAAGCACCCTGAGTTTCCTGAACATGGCAGCAGAACCACAGACTGATCTCCTCCATGCCAAACTCCATTGATCCAGAAAATCACACCAAACAACTAGTGAGGTTGTGCTGTTAGCCACATTGACTTACTGTTCAGAAGCTCAGTATCTCTGCATTGAAATCCCTTCATTGGTCTGATTTAATATTCAAATTTGAGTTTTAATTGCCTTTAAACCATAATCATCCAAATAAATGGAAATAAACAGAAATACTCATAAATGTTAGTTTCACTTTTTAATCTGAATGGCAGAAAAAAATTCCCCTTCTGTAATATTCTAATTTCATTATCAGTTGTTCCAATATGCACTGGAAATATTTGAGTCTTTTACTAGAAGTAGATTTTTTTATTTTTTTATTTTTTATTTTTTTTTTGCTTACTGCAGATAATTGAAGAAAATTAATGAATATGCATGAAACTACATACTGAAGTGGTTGTGAAATAATTTAATTGTTGTTCTGACGGCTGATATGAACAATTTGTACACATTTTTTTCTTTACTTTTCCTGAAAAGTAAAATATTGAAAAATGTGTGACTTGAATCAAATATCAAGAAGAAATGCAATCAAATGTCCATGATCAGCAATTATATAATGAGGTCTGATTTAAATAGCGGTAAAAATCGACAACACACCTGATGAGATTTATCTGGGAAATTGAACTCGGCCGGTTTCTGCTTCTCAAAATTACTTTATGGAGAAAAATTACAGAAAAATAGAGTTTAAGCAAAAACATTTTCTGTTAGTGGTTCTATGCTGCCATCTAGTGATGATCCACCCGAACAGCATATCACACAGTTCTATTTACAGTCGGGGTGGGGGTGGGAGGGGTGAGAAGCAACTTAAACAACAAGTTTCATATTAATGTTTGGTTTTTGTGTTTTATTCCTAAAATAAATTCTGTAAATTCTTTTGTTCGTATTTCTATTTGATTTCAGAAATCTTACTTTGATGTATGACTGTGACTAACTGGATGTGCTCTCTTCATCCTCTGACATGGTAGCTGGCTGGGAGCTCGTCTGCCTGGCTGTGTTTCCTGGATGGGGAGGCCTTTTAAAGTTGCCTTTTCTATCTCTGCTTCTGTCTCCTTGAACCCCAGTCGGCTTCGGCAGATGGTTCTGCTGGAGTTTACTTTCTTTTAAAAGGGAGTTTTTTCTCTCAACTGTCGCTACAAGTATGCTTAGTGTGCAGGACTTAATTTAAGTCAGTGAGTCGATGCAATCAACTGGTTTTCCTTAGATAGAAAACTTGGAATCAGTTTGACTGTGTGATCTGGTGAACTATAAAGTGCCTTGAGATGACGTGTGTTGTGAATTGGTGCTAGAAATAAACTGAATTGAATTGATTGTTCCATCCCTAACCTAAAGATAGTTGAAATTTTAATTTGTGTTTAATGAAATATAACTCCAAATTTAACATTTTCACCGATGTGTAATAAGTTAGGTTATTAGCTTGGTGTAGCTATCAGAGAGAATCAGTCCCAAAATTTTAGGCGGGAAAAACTCAGCAGCCTTTTTTTTTAAATATGTTGAAAATACAAATATAAAACTGACATTTTTTAAGCTTAAGAAATATTATATTCTATTTAAAATAAAAAAAAAACCTAATAATTAAAATTATTATAGTTTATCAAATGAAATCCAAAGTATTTATCTTCGCTTGTAGTTGTAATTAATGGACAGCAGAGGGCAGTGTTTCACAGCCTGCTGCGCACAGGCTTAACGAGTGCAGCGGCGGAACTTTTCAAGTTAAGACTGATGCTTACAAAATGCTTTTATCTTGAAATTCCAACCGGATGCGCAGTGGCATAAAGTTTTGTTTGAACTTGACTCACTTGGTCCACGCGTCACACAGCATTAGTGTGGTGTGTTTATGTTCCCACGCATGAAGGTGAGCTGGGGAATGCTGAGGCATGCTGATGATGATGAGGAGGGGACACTTTGCGCATTTGGAGCAGCAGGGTGCGCAGTGATTGCGCCGCTATCTGCGCGCTGATTGAAACGTTTTGCGCTCAGCTGCAGTTGGAGCGGCTCCAGGGATGCTGCGGCTGCCGGGGTGTCGCTGCGCAACCAGGGGCTGCGCCCTCCTCCTCTGCTGAGTCCTTTCCACACTTTTTCTCCCCCTCATGGATCTAGGTCCCATCTCTCCCAGTCTGTAAGATGGGGACCAGTTTGTCCAGCCTGGCAGCCTTCCAGTCCCTCCACATCGTCATGCTGGGTTTGGACTCTGCGGGTAAGACCACGGTTCTGTACCGGCTGAAATTCAACGAGTTCGTCAACACGGTGCCCACCATCGGCTTCAACACGGAGCGGATCCGCCTGGGTGGCCCCGGGGCCTCCAGGGGCATCAGCTGCCACTTCTGGGACGTCGGGGGCCAGGAGAAGCTGCGGCCCCTGTGGAAACCCTACAGCCGCTGCACGGACGGCATCGTGTACGTGGTGGACTCCGTGGACTCGGAGCGGCTGGAGGAGGCCCGCGCGGAGCTGCACCGGATCACCCGCTTCCAGGAGAACCAGGGGACCCCGCTGCTGGTCATCGCCAACAAGCAGGACCTGCCGCGCGCCCTGGAGGTGGGGGAGATAGAGAAGCAGCTGGCCCTGTCCGAGCTCAGCCCCTCCACCCCCTACCACGTCCAGCCGGCCTGCGCCATCATCGGAGAGGGACTGGATGAAGGGATGGACAAGCTGTATGAGATGATAGTGAAGAGGAGGAAGGCTCTGAAGCAGAGGAAGAAGAAGCAGTGATGCACGACAATCACTGCCAATAACTTTTAATAGGAAACAAATGTCCTCATTAACAGACCTCCACCATAGAATGTAGCAGATAAAGACTGAAGGAAGTTTGAAACCTTAACTTAAAACCTTCCCAACAGGTAGATAATCAGGATACTTTCTGCAAACCTTTCCTTTTTCTGTTTTTTTCTGATGGAGATGCTCTCTGTGTGCTCAGATGTGAGGCTGAGGGAGGAAGGATTCCCCTGAGAGGAAGGCACACTCAGCTATTTCTGGTTCAGGCTTTTTATTTCCTGCTCTGTCTCCTTTCTGGTGAGAGGATCTGAAAACAGCAGAGCAGGTAGAGACAAGGGGGAGACACCTAAGCTGTACGAGGGCTGCTGAAATCTGATGAAGTAGATCTATTGGATACTATTAGCTTTTTAATTTGCAAATATTATATAAATTCCATCTTATGATGAAAGACTTATTTACAATCAATTTAGATTTTTCCAACTCTGCAAAATTCCAAATATCTAGCTTCACTTCCATTAAAAGTTTTCTGTAATTATTGCAGGCTGCGCAGTGGGCATGCAGAAAGAAGGTTTCAGGTTTCATTCCCGGCCCGGGGTCTATCTGCATGGAGTTTGCTTGTTCTCCCTGAGCATGCGTGGGTTCTCTCCGGGTACTCCAGCTTCCTCCCACAGTCCAAAAACATGACTGTTAGGTTAATTGGCTTCTTTAAATTCTGCTTAGGTGTGAGTGAATGGTTGTTTGTCCTGTTTGTCTCTGTGTTGCCCTGCGATGGACTAGCGACCTGTCCAGGGTGCACTGGAAAAACGATCTAGAAATAAGTAAAAATTTTCTAAATTAAGTGTATTTACCCTTAATTTAAGTAGGTAAAGGAGATAGTTTGCCAATGCAATGAGTATTTTTACTCTTAAAATAAGATAATTAGATAATATGTACTTGAAATAAGACCTTGCAATTGTATTTTCTTATTTTAAGTGTAAATTGTCTTGTTCCAGTAGCAAAATGTCTCTTTTACCGCCTCAATCCAAGAAAAAAAACCAGCACCCCTCGCTACCCCAGCAGGGATAAGCGTGACGGAACATGGATGGATGTAATTATTCCAGCTACTCAGATTAAAATAGATGCCTAATGTTAAATGGCTTCCCCTTTCTTTCCTAATTAGATCCTGGGTTGTATTTCACACAGTCATCAGCATATAGTGTGATTCTGCCATTACCTAAAATCTAATTCACTTCTGTAATATGTTGTGATATTTTACACTGATTTGGCTTGATGGGGGTCTAAACAAGGCAAAATCAGGATAGAAGGATATGCAGTTCCAGATGTGTAATGTTATGTTTGTGTTGCCTTAACCTAAAATCAGATAAGGTTTACCCAAAGTAAGAAGAAACTAACTGTTTGAACCAGCCACCAAGATAGAAAGAGTCTTCCTTGGTAATGATTATGCAAACCGGCCGGCTGGAACCTGTTTTTTTTTTGTTTTTCCTGATGCATCTATATTTTATTATAGTCTTCCTGCATTTCTATGATAAATTTAATCCCCAGACGTGTTTTAAAAAAACAAGATTTTGCAGAAATGTTCAGAAAGTAGCGTTTGATATAAACTAACAGGACTCCTGAAAGTCGTCATGAAAGCTGCTGGAAGCTTTCACATCTTATCTGAAGCAACACTAAACAGCATGCTGGTCGACCTGATCCTTATCCTTCATGAAAAAACTCCGTCATACTTGTAGCTCCCAGCGGACGGTAGGCATGGTCGTTCCTGCATGACGATCGCTCATCCACTCAATATTTATGCTCCAGAAACATGTTAAAAGCCAAAATACAGCGAGACCAAACATGTGATATGTGCCAAAATGTAAGAAAAAAAAGTATTTTTTTGATTAAAATCTTTATAACTGATCTTGTGTTTGTTGTCTGTGTGACCTTTAGAAGGGAACTCTTATTTTTATCTGCTGTTGCAGACAGATTTAGCAAAAGAAATATCATATGTACTGAATTATCACAATATAGGAGCATTAAATTCACTTTCATTTAATTAAATAAGCCTATAAATGTACTGATACCCTAAAGTTTTTAGTCCTGTTTCATCATTTCCAGTTTTCCTTTAAAAATCCTGACTGAAAATCCTAAAAAAAAGATGAAAATAGCAGGTTGTCAAAGACAAAAGTAGATGTTTTCATTGTTTTTGTTGATGCTTTGTGCCAAATTTACCTTTCTGCCTTCACTGTCTCCAGACAATCTGCCTCCAGTCACATAATTACTGTAGTTTTCTTTAGTCGTGTTACTGAGCGGCACTATCATGTCAAAGTGTGACCACGGAGTGGAGAAATGTTGTTTACTTTTGGTGCAGTTACTCATATGACAATGTCCCCCTGAAATAACAGCGTTTTGTGGTCTGAGGTTAAACAGGCGGAAGGAGGGAGAGAATGTTTACTGATTTCATATCAGATGAGTCTGAGCGTGGGAATGTGGACAAACCGTGAATGGATCTCATGGGGATTCTGGTCATGCAGTTTATACACTGCGATTTGGAAAAGTATTCACACTTTTTTCTACATTTCCACATTTTTCCAGGTTAAAAACACGTTAGTAATGTTTGCAGGGGCAATAAAACTCCTGTTGATTAAAGGTGACCGTGCAGCTGATTGTGCATGAGGGAAACTTGCAGAAGAATAAAGGTTGCATGAATTTCTTATTCAGTCTTTTCCTTCATTTTAATTTGTTTCAACATAAAGTGTTTATCCTAAAGAGCTGGAAAGTCAGTCCCTGTTAGCAAAGCAGGGTCATTATGATCTGGAGGTCTGTTAGAGCAATAAAAGGATTATAATCCTTTTCCAAACCTGGGTCTGGTTTGGTTCTCTTGATCTTTTCTAAAATATATTTATAATTTAAAACATGCAGAGGTGGTCTTTATGACATTTAGGGAAACTCAGATGAAGGTAATTGTATTTCTGTTTGTGCGTCTGGTTCATCTGTTGTTTTTGCCTGAAGGATTTAAGATAATTATCTCAGATGATTCGGGGAGGGATGATGTGTAATCTGGACGACACCAGGGCGCTGAGAGGAGATTATGTTCCGCTCACATCTCCGCTAAATCTGCATATTTCCTGAATCTGCAACAGTTTGCAGATTAACTCTTCCTTTGGAGAGCTTGAATTTATCTCCGCATTGAGCAGCTGCTTCTCCAGCTGGTTGCTTTTCCTGTGTAGAGAACAGTGTTGGATTTGCAGAAAATCATATTGTCAGGGAGTATCTGTGGCTGGGTTTTTTTTTTTTCTTGGGTTTTTCCAACAGGGGGGCTTCTCCTGGAGCTGCTGCAGAGATTGGGTCATCGGCTGCAGAACTGCAAAATCATCAGCCTCATTACCTGGATGCTTAAAGATATTTTATTTCTGTTTGGATCATCTAAATAAGTGGTCCTCCTAATTGTCAATCATTCTGGTAATCTGTTTACGTAAGGCCGTCCTACATGCTCGTCCTGTTAGCTATCTTTTTCTGCGCATGCGCATGTTCAGGCGTATATCTGTGGTGAGCTACAGTTCCAGACAGTCATTAAAGCTCACCTTTCTCACCGCGGTTCTTTGAAAATGGCCGACGGTCGTAAGAGAAAAAGTGTCTACGAAGTGTATGAGAAGAAAAGAAAGGCCTCAGAAGAGGCAGATATATCCCAGAATGCTTTGCATGGACAGCTCTCCTCACAAAGCATCATGGGATTTGCTGTCACAGCGGCCCGCTGTCACCATAGGCTGCCGCTACCCGACAGCGGCGACTAATAACAAAGATGGCGCAGGCAGCACGCGGTGGAGGAGGAGTTACATGACCAACGGCGCACAAAGTAGTGATCATCTGTCCAAATGGTCAGTTAACTGAGTTCGCTATAAATTCCACTATATAGTCTCCACTCTATTCTCCACGAGAAAAGCAACTTTTCAACAGAGTTTGCATGAGGAGAAATGGGCTCATGCATGCTCTTGCATGCGTTTAATAGGCGTCCCCTCTCAGGAGAGGATACAGGGTTGTGCATGTGCAAGTGGAGAAGGTGGCTGTCAGGTTTTGGTTGAGGTTTTGAGGTCCCAAATGCAGAGGCGGTGAGGCAGAGATGAGTTCTTGTAGTTTTAATGGAGTTCTCAATAGGTAGCAGGGGCAGGAATCCGAAGATCCAACACAAAAACACAAACAGACCAGAACCATGGAGACATCAGGGAAAATATGCATGAGGAGCCGGGGAAAAACGAGGAACCAGCACTGAGGAACCGCACAGGGAGACTGAACAAGGACAGGACTAATGCGCTGATTGGGAGCAGGTGTGAAGAGAGGCTTCTAGAAGGGAGCTAGGGAAAACGAGGCCAACACAAGAGGGCGACAAAGAAAAACCTAAGAACTCAAATACATCCAGAAAACACAACAAAATAAGAATTAAACCAATAAAATTAGAAAACATGGAACAAAGTAAAACTGAATACTCAAAAGAAAACTTAACAGAACCAAGACATTAGCTACGTTTACATGCGCAAAATTTCCCCGATCCGATCCAAACCTTGGTTGATCGGAAATCCAAAATCTCCGTTTACATGGACACTAAATGAAATGATCCGATCATGACGTGTGTATACATGTACCAAGCGTTGGATCAAATTAAATCTTTTAAGCATGCGCAGAACTTCCTGCCAAACTTGGCAGTTCTGTCTGCGTCTGGTTTTTGGGAGGCCTGACAAACGATGCGCTCGGAGCGAGCGGAAAGAAAAACGGAGAGAGGAGGAAAAAAGCGCTTGGCAGCGAAATGTTTGAGAGAAAATGTAGAGAATGAGCGATTGAACCGGCGTGGGAGAGCCAGTGGGCTGTGGAGAGAGAAAAGAGGAAGAGGAGGAGGATAAATTCCTGCTTCCTGCAGCTTTAAATGAACTTGAGTGTATAAGTCGGCGTTCCTAGACTCCTCCCGCCATGTTGTTCACAGCGAGAGCGACCGGTGGTTTCCTGTTGTTGACAAGGCGGAAAAACGTCACGCTGACGTCGCACACATGCGCAGCGAACATTATTTTACTCTTAAGATCCGAATGGGTGTTTACATGGACGCCAATCAGAATGGCGATCGGCAAAAACCACCTCTCTCTTTCGGAATTAAATTTAGATCCGATCGGACCGAATCGGATTAGAATCTTCAGTCTGACATGTTTACATGAAATATTTTTGATCTGATCAGGCCTTCAATCTGATTAGTTGTGTCCATGTAAACGTAGCTAGTGACAGTGGGTCTTTTTAAAGATTCACTATAATCCTCCACAAGCCCTCCTATGTTTCTTGTGTTCCAGCTGTGCACCAGATTAATTTTGTTCATATTTTTTCAGGTAACCAGTCCTGAGAGTTTATCAGCCTTTAAGCAAATAGTTTTCTCTCTAAGAGTCCCTCCTGAGAAGCTGAATAGACTGAAATCGCTCCTCCTTGTACATCCTGTCCATCCAGCAGCTGCCATCGACCTCAATGAAAGCCTCCACTGGAAGGACCGGTTGTTCTCAGCCATGGATCCCACTAGCCTCTCCCTAGCGGATGAATCTCACTCTGAAAGGAGGCCCACTGCAGTCATTCCCAGGTCTCGTTACGTTTAACCCTATGTTGCTTCTAAGAAGACCAGAACTCCAGAACCATTGTTTTTTAAGCTGCCCTTTACGCTTCTGGTTAATAGATCTGTTAAACCTGATTTTCTC